TTAGGATGCCATTGAATGCCCACTCCAGGCAGGAGAGAAGTAGTTTACTCCTAGGCAGGTGGTGAGCCTGAAGGTCACAGAAATTAAGTACTTTTGTCCTGGAACACACAGCTTAGTCAGTGGAAGACTTGGTTGAAATCTAGGTTTCTGTGTGCATTGATCTCACTGTCTGTTCATCTCGTCACACTGCCCCTGACTGAGGTCTGTACATTATCTTCAAGGTAAGTCAGGAAGCTGAAGCCTAGAGAGACTGGTTTACCAAGGCCATTGCAGTAGTCTGGCTCCTTCTAACATTTGTTTGCTTTTCTGTCAACCCCTGATGCTCCCAAGTTTGTCCAGATGGAGCCTGCCATCCCAGCAGCACACACCTGTTGTTAACACTGTCGGTAGAAAGTTCCATCAAGAAAGGGCTTATTCCTTATCTCTGCCTCTTTCCCTCACTCTCTTCCTCCTACCACCAGTTCATTCAACCAGGTAGTCACACAGACTCAATCAGAGGAGGCCTACCCTGGCCTGGCCCTGAGTGTTCAGGAGGAAGCTTTACAGTAAAGAGTTAAGAGTTATGCTTGGTGTCAGGTAGATGAGCATTCCAGGCAGAGAGCTCTAAGTATGAAGTGCAGAGGAGCATACTGTCCTTGGGAAAGGCAAGCGAAAGTTTCCTGATAGATGGACACCTTGACCTGACGTTCCACGTCAGTAACTTCTACTGCTTTATAATTATTCATTCCACATATTGTCTGTTGTCACATATCCAACTACTAGACTGTAAACTTCTTGAAGGCAAGGGATTGTGTCTGTTCCCTCCTTCCCCCCGCACTTAGAATGGTTCCTGGTAAATACATGGTAGACCATCAGTTAGCCTTTGCCGCATTGCTAACTCTGTGCCAGACTTGAATGCCCAGATGGCCCCAGTTCCATATAAATATGGAGGCAAAACACAGCATTACAAAGTATAACAGGAAGGCTCCCCATGGAAGCTGTGCTGGCTGAGGAAGTTCTGCTGGGCCCATAGCAACAAGAAGTGCTGCCAAATGTCCTCGATGCCCAGGGGGGAGGAATGGATTGGACAGCCTATGTTCCTAACCCCGCCTCCTCCTCTTCCTCCCCAGCTGTCCATGCTGTTCACAGAGGAGTGTGACAAGGTCCGTGATCTGATGCATGTGCACTCCTTCAGCTATGATTTCCATCTGCGCCTTGTGCACCAGCATGTGCTCGGTGCACACCTGGTACTGCGGCATGGCTACCACCTCACCACCTTCCTGCAGCATTTCCTAGCCCACCACCCTGATGGCCCTCACTTTGGCCGCAATCACATTTACCAAGGTCAGTGCCCAAGGGCAAGCCAGTGAAGCTAAAATAGAGCAGCCACATGGCCAGGCCTGGCCTGATAGGACCACGAGTCACTCATTTCCCTTGAACCATGTTCATACTTTCGGTCTTTGTCTTAGGTTTCTCACAGTTGATTTCATACCCGAATTAAGGCCTGTGTCCTGTGTTACCCTGCCCTCTCTCTGTTCTGAGCACTTTATCCCATCTCAACAACATTCCACAGGAGCTTGGGCGCTCCCCAGGGAAGCAAAACCTTAGTATTCGCATCCCCTGTCCCAGCCCAGGTTGCTTGTCCCAGACTTAGTGTCTGTTTTGCCTATAACTTGTGTCATAGGGACACTGGAGCTCCCCACCCCACTCATTGCTGCCCACCAGCTGTACAACTATGTGGCCGACCACGCCAGTTCTTATCACATGAAGCCATTGCGAATGGCCCGGCCCGGTGGCCCAGAACATAATGAATATGCCCTGGTGTCAGCATGGCACAGGTAAGGCGAGGAGGCAGCTTCCAGGACACACCTACTAGGGCTGAGGTTGGGGCCACACTTGGAATAGGAAGATGTATGTTTTCTTGGGTATGCAGGTTGGGACTGGTTTCTTTAGAGCCTTGGAATTGACATCTCTCCCACCCCAACTACACAGCTCTGGCTCCTATCTGGACTCTGAGGGGCTTCGCCATCAGGATGACTTTGATGTGTCTCTGCTTGTCTGTCACTCTGCTGCACCCTTTGAGGAGCAAGGAGAGGCTGAGCGACATGTTCTGAGGTCAGATCTCTTACCGCAAATGTACCCATTTTTTCAGAATGCCCTCTACTCCTACCCGTGAGTCTATTGGTGTGACACTCTGCCACTCTCCTGCCCCTTCCCTTCCCTAGGCTTCAGTTCTTTGTGGTGCTTACCAGCCAAAGAGAACTCTTCCCAAGACTCACTGCTGACATGCGCAGATTCCGGAAACCATCCAGGCTTCCCCCTGAGCCAGAGGTTCCTGGGAGCTTGGTTGGTAGCCCCGGGGAGGCATCAGGAATTATGCTGGCCCCAGGGCCAGCTCCTCTGTTCCCACCACTAGCCACAGAAGTGGGTATGGCCCGGGCCCGGCTTGCTCAGCTGAGTTTGGTGGCTGGGGGGAGGCATCAGGAATTATGCTGGCCCCAGGGCCAGCTCCTCTGTTCCCACCACTAGCCACAGAAGTGGGTATGGCCCGGGCCCGGCTTGCTCAGCTGGTTAGGTTGGCTGGTGGGCACTGCCGGCGGGATACCCTCTGGAAACGCCTCTTCTTGCTGGAGCCACCAGGGCCTGACCGTCTAAGGCTAGGGGGGCGCCTGGCCCTGGCAGAGCTGGAGGAGCTCCTAGAGGCAGTCCACGCCAAGTCCATTGCCGACATTGACCCCCAGCTGGTAAGAGACCTGACTCCACAAGGGCCAGCATTGCTTCCAGAAGTTCCATAGCTGGCTGAGTGGGAGGGAAGGCATCTTGGGTGACTCTGGAGTGGTAGGCTCAGGGCTGTGGCTCCTCCCCAGGACTGCTTCCTGTCCATGACTGTCTCCTGGTATCAGAGCCTCATCAAGGTTCTCCTGAGCCGATTCCCCCAAAGTTGCCGCCATTTTCAGAGCCCGGACTTGGGAACCCAGTACCTGGTGAGTCCCATTGGCCCCACTCTACATCACCCAATACCTGGTGAGTCCCATTGGCGGAACTCTACATCTGACATCACAGAACCATTCAGGGAGCTCAGGCTTAGCAAAAAAGCTCTGCCTGACACTATCGTCTTGCTGGAGTTGGACCACAATGATAGCCTAAAAAACTTTGAGCAGTGGGTAATGATCCTGAGTGCATGATTCCTGGGAAGTGGCACATCTTGGCTTGATGCCTACTGCAAGTGAGGCACTCAGCCTGCTGGAGGCAGGTGCTCACCTCCACCACTGTCTGGGGATCCGTGTCTCAGCAATATCCCCAGAAGGTCTGTGCACACTGGCGTGAAGACACAGCTGTGAAGGACAGGAAGAGAGAAAGCTACACTATGTGCATGGGAAACTAAAGAGACAGCTGTGGTCAGGAAGATCATGAGGGAGAGAGTAACAGTGGTGAGGCTGGAACAGGATTTGTCTCTGATATACCACAGGTCATCCAGAGAAGCCCAGGCTACCGTAGGGCAGGCAAGGGGGCATTTGGGGTGCCAGTGATGGGAGCACTAAAGCTGGATTGGGACAGAGGAAGTGTTTAGTTCTTGGGGCAAGTTGAGTCTGTCATCCTTGAGATATGTGGACATCGGGATCAAGAGGGATATAGGCCACAGTCACATTAGTAGATAGTACAGAAGCCCCGAGGAGAAACAACCCAGTCCCAGAGCTGAGAATAGGGAGCAGGGGACATTAAGAGGCAATAGGAGACCTAGAACTGGCTGGAGGGGGTCCCGCAAAGGGTCTAGAACTATCCTTTACTGATTAGCTTCCCTAGAAGCTTCTGACAGGGCTCCGACAGACAGATTGAGGCCCAGTGTGGCAACACTATCCTTAGTGACCCAGGCTCGCAGATAGGATCAGACATATGACAAAAGGAGGCCTCACCCTCCTGCCTCTGTAAGAAGCCCTGCAGGAGGGTTTACACCCACTCGGGTGAGACAAGTCTCACTCTCTTCTGCTGTATCTGTTGCTTCAGGTTGTGCTGAATCAGAAGTTCACCGACTGTTTTGTGTTAGTGTTTCTGGACTCCCACTTGGGAAAGACGGTGAGAACAAAGGGCAAGGGACTTCATGGAGGCTGTTCCCCAATTACTCCTCTCAGCCTTCTAAGAGTGGGCTGCCTGTCCTTCTGCAGCCAGCTGTCTGTCCTTTCTACACGCCCTCTCACATTGCACCTCTATCGTGTTCCCCACAGTCTCTGACGGTGGTGTTCCGAGAGCCCTTCCCAGTGCAGCCCCAGGACAGTGAGAGCCCCCCTGCCCAGCTGGTCTCTACATACCACCACTTGGAGTCTGTCATCAACACAGCCTGTTTCACCCTCTGGACTCGCCTCCTCTGAGAAAGTGGACCACTGGCTTCATTGGTTGAATTATGGATCTATAAGCTTGCCCATCTGAGGCAGGACTGTCGGGCACTTATGATCCCCAAGTCCTCAGACACAAAGTGACACCAAGGATTGTGAATACGTCTGGGGAACTGCTGCTATGCTCTGGACACCGGGACTACCCTCCCTAGCTGCTAAACATCCTGGACTACTTTAGGCCCCTGGGCCCATCCAGAAGAGGCCTCCTTCCTGCCCACCTGATGGAGTCCCAGGCTTCCTGTGAACTGGCAAACCACTCACCCCTTAGAGCTCTGCTAGTGACCCGACTCACAGCTTGTCACTGTCTGCTACCTGCATCCTTGGCCCTCTGATCTTTGTTCCCACTTGGCCATCACTGTTGGACATTTACTCTTTCGGTAAGACACTGGTTCTAATCTTGGCCCTGCCTCTCAAGCGACCAGTGTTTGCCTCCCTCACCCCCACTGGACCTGTGGTTCCTCGTCTGTAGATAAGGAGAGTTAAGAAGCTCTCTGTATCCACAGCAACCCTGGCACCAACCGGAGGATGTGAGCTTGATCTGTGTGTCCCTTCTCAGTAGGAGGGAATTAACCCAGAGACATTGAAGCATTAGACACTATGTGTCCCCCATCCCTGTAATATACACATATGAAAATATTCAGTGTGTCTTTAATTCAGAGGAGGGGCCTCAGGACCCTTGCCCGCTGCCCCAGAGCAGCATGCAGGTACTGTGTAGAACCTTACTGGCCTGTCTGTGGGTGGCCCCGTCTGTCCCAGTATGAACGTAGCCAGCTCAGACCCTCCACCGTGTCTCCTGCAGTAAAAGAGAGGCAATGCCATCTCAACCCATAAGGGAAAGGACAGCCCCTGTCCAACACCCATCCCTCCAATGTCCCCTGCCCCAAACTACCAGGAGTCTCACCTCGAGGCCGATACTCGCAGCCCACAAATCCTTGGTAGCCTTCATCTTCTAGCAGCTGGAACAGGTAAGAAAAGTCCAGCTCTCCAGAACTGCCTGGCTCCCCTCGGTCTGGGACCTGTGCCACTTGCACATGCCCTGGGGACAGATGCAGAGAGATGGGACAAGGAATGAAAAGGGAGGCAAGCATAAGAGCCAGCATGAGACCAGGAGGAACTTGGGGAGGGGGAGCCCTCACCAACAATGGGCAGGAACTCCCTGATGTTTGCTGTCAGATTACCACCCATGATCTGCCAGTGGAATATGTCCTGGGGGAGAGAATGTCAGTCAGAACCCTCGGGTGTCCCTCCAATCTTCCCCAGACCGGAAGACATGACCTGAAGAAGCACCCATCTTTCACTCACCATTTGCAGTTGAAGATTGGGTCTCCCAACCTTCTGCAAGATGGCTGCCGCTGGGGGGAAAGCCAGGGGAAAAGCCATGAGGCTTTGCAACATGTGATTTAAAGAGGAATTGGAGGTGGCATAGAACTGGAGTCCTACCCTGCTGGGGTGTATCCAGGAAGTACTGGGGGTCCGTGATTCGAGTGTTAATGGGCTCCAGCAGTCCCACGAGGTTCTCCTAGACCATGATGGAGGCTGTCAAGGGTTCCTCCCTCAGCTGTCCCAGGTCAGCAGCTTCCTCTGTTCCTCTGACCCGTGCTCTTGCTCAGTTTTGTGCCTCTGTCCCCACTGTCCCCACTGTGTACTCCCTCTACTCCCCAGTACGTTAGCTATGTGTTTCCACATCTTACCTGAGCCAAAACCCCAGCTGCATATTTCAGGTTCTCCAGAAAAACTGTCTCCATCTCACCTTGGATTGCAGCTCGGTCAGCCCCTTGGGGCACTCGGCCAGCCATCAGGTGGATCCTGTAGAGAAGGTGGTAGGGAGGGGCTCCTGCCCTCAATTTCCTATGCATCTTCTAGATGCCCTCTGGCTATACCAGCCTCACTCCATCTCCCAGGGTCTACTGTCCAGACCATCTAAGGCATGACACCCAAGTATCCCAGCAGCCTCCCACATTTGTGTCAGCCAAGGCAAGTCACCCATGCCCTCTTCAATCAACCCATCAGGGCCTCTTCCTAACACTCCCTCCCTCCTGGACTCATAACCTCCCCTTTCCCAGGTTCCTTCTCAGCTCATAAGCACGCTTGAGGCTCACCTTTTTTTTTTCTTCAGATTTTTAAAATTTGTGTATGAGTGTTTTGCTTGCATGTATCTATGTGTACCATGTGTGTGCCTGGTGCCCTTGGGGGTCAGAAGGGTGTTGGATACCCTGTTACTGGATTTACAAATGTTTATGAGCTGTCATGTGGGAACTGGCAACCCAGCCCAGGTCCTCTGCAAGAGCAACAAGTGCTCTGAACTGCTGAGCCATCTCTCCAGCCCTGAGGCTCACCTTTTAAGAATGATCTTGACCCTTGCCCTTTTAGACAGTCCCCGTTGGTTAACCCTGCTTCACATCTTAGCCTCTTCCCAAATGCCTTCTGCCCCTACTGCTGACCGACAAGGAGCCTCTTACCACCAGGTGCTTCCCAGCATTTCTTGATCTGGGATTTGACATCTATCCCCTTAAGACCCACTATGAGGCTGCATCACATCACATCCAAATTCCCACGGCCTCCAGTTCAAGCCCTTGGAAGTCAGTATTCATCACCTCCAGCCTCATTAACTACTCAGCTGGACACGGCAAACCCCTCCTCTGGCTCCGGACAGCCTCCTTGCCTGAATAGCGTACTCTCTCCCTATAAAGTGGATGCGTGAGCCTGCCAGATTCAGTTCCTGTATCACTATCGGCA